ACACACACACACACACACACACACGCACATATACACACACACACACACACACACACACACACTATAATGCAGGCCAAACGGAAAGGGCAATTAACAGGCTAATTACAGCAGGAAGTGAAATTGTTTCTTAGTAGGAAATTGTTCCTTTAGGAGTACAGATAGTCCTTAGCTAACAAACATAATTGGAACTGGAATCTCAGTCATTGAGTGAAGCAGTCATTAAGTGAGATGCCCATGTGTCTGCTTCACTCAGTGACCCCAATCTGGGCACTCCAGCACAGAGCTGAAATCCTCCCAGCAGGCAGCTCTTGAAGAGAGAAAGGGCTGCCTGCCAGGTGGTTTCAGCTCCACGCAGAGCTGAAATTCTCCCAGCAGGCAGCCTTTTCACTCTCAAAGTTTCCTAAAGCCCGCCGAAGGGTTTGCCCTCCACTCCATGGACGGAGTGGAAATCTTTCCTGGAGCTGGAGGAACGGAGCTCAAATCTTCCCACACACTGCCGTGTCTCCCTATGCTTGCAACCTTCCCTGCCAGCTTCCAACAGGTAAGCTGGCAGAGAAGATTGAAAATAGCGATCACACGATCGCAGGGCACTTGGTCGTAAATACAAGCTGATTGCCAAGCACCCGAAATGCGGCCATGTGACCGGGGGGGGGATGGTGCGATGTTTTACAACAGCCAGAAGTAAAGCACCCTTTCTGAGGCCATCATAACTTCCAACTGTCGTTAAATGAATGGTCATTAAGTGAGGACTACCTGTAGTGGTGGTGCAGCTTCCTCATGAGATAAGGAAGAAAAGTAGAAGATACGGCCCAGATATTCCAACGAATATTTTTCTCTATAGATTTCCCTTCACAGAATTATTAGTGTGTTTTTGTAGAAATAAAGACTGGTTAGTCTTCATTCTCACTCCCTTTCACTTCCATGTCAACCCTACCTGGCAATTTCTCCATCCTGTTCTTCCCTGTGGGTGGGCCAGGACTACAACTCCCAGCATGCTGGCGGGCACACGTCCTGACGCCTTTGGCAGGGGCTGGCTTTTCTAAGGCACTTCTCCCATCTTCAGCAAATCAAGCTGATGAATGGTCTAGAGTCGGTCCAGGTGGGAAATCTTCTGCCCTCGTATCTGTTGTATGGCACTTTTATTTCCCAAGTTTCAATAAAAAGCCAATAAGAAGACTTGAGATG